AGTTGTGCAGAAAGTACTTGAACACAGCAGAGAGGCAAAGCAGTGGCAGATATGAGAGAGAAGTTAAGAAACACACAGGATCATTCAGAACCATCTGTGTCCGGGAGGGTAAGAAGGAGAAGGAAGGAATTAGAGCAGTCAAAGAAAAAGTGGCAGAGTTTTTTCTGGAATTTAAGAAAGAGCTGTCCCATAATTAAAAGTCCAGGACTTCCTTGGCGAACTCTGAGCAGTTGGCTGACTGCTGTCATCTTTTAAAGTTATTAGCAGAATCTAAAAATACCTCACCTTAATAAATATTGCAGTCAGTTCTAATCTATTTTTAGGCATCTTTTCCATGATGATTTATGGAGCTTCTACTATTTCCACATTCAGTATGACCAGGTGTTGGTGTCATTAAATAATGATTCGGATGCAGGTAGCCTTTTAGAGATTAATATGAAAAGATTAAGTGTCTTTGTTTTCTTGACAACTGATAGGAAAATAGATAAGAGGAGTCTTTGGACCACACTTATCTCTCAGATGTCTAACTATGGCAATCTGTTATTCACATCCATTAGAAATAGACAGTATAATAAAGAATTAGATGCATTATATCCTCATTTTCATCCTTTCTCACATTTTATTACAATGCTTGATTTTCATATAGGGCAAACTAAATGTATTTTTAAGCTTCCAGAACATGTTTCTTTCAGTTTGCTCTTAAAATTGAGTTCTACCAACTAAGAAGCCACTTGTTTATTAATACGCTATAAATAATTGAACACAATCTTTGTTCTTGGTTCTCAGTAATAAATGGGCGTCTTGATTTTTAAATCTTACCTCTTGGTTGTTGTAGTTGTTGTTATTAGGTTCCGTCAAGGTGAGTGCAACCCGTTGTAACCCTATTATCTTGTGCCATCCTCACAATTCCTGACACATTAGAGACCACTGAGGGAGTCACCATGTTGAGCTACTTGGTTGAAGGTCTTCCTGTCCTTCACTGACCCTCTGTTTTTCCAAGCATCATGTCTCTCTCCAAGGAATAGCCGCTCCTAGCAACATCTCATCATCTTTGCCTCCAAAGAGCCCTCTGGCTGAACCCTCTCCAAGACTTATTTGTTTGTTCTTTTGGTCATCCATGGGATGTTCAGTACTCTTCTCCAACACTACAGCTCAAAGGCATCAGTTCTTCTGTCACCCTTAGTCATTGCCCAGCTTTCAGATGCATAGCAGGTGATCAGAAAGACTATGACCTAAATCAGATGCACCTTGGTCCTCAAACTGATGTTATTTCTCTTCAATAATTTGAGAAATCCCTAACTGCAGACTTTCCCAGTGCAACACATCGGATTTCCTGACTGCTGGTACCAAGGGTGTTAATTGTGAATCCAAGTGTGATAACATTGTTGACAGTTTCAGTCTTTTCTCCATCTATTATGATGTTGCCTATCTGTCCAGTGATAAAAATCTTTGTTTTCTTGACATTAAGATGCAATCCATATTGAAGGCTATATTCTTTGATCTTCTGCAACAAGTGCTTCAAGTCCTCCTCACTTTTAGCAAACTGTGTTGTATCATCTGCATAGTGCAGGTGATTTGTGAGTCTCCCTCTGATCTTAATTCCACATTCCTCTTCATAGAGTCCAGGTTCTTGAAAAATTTATTCAGCGTACAGATTGAACAGGTATGGAGAAAGAATACAACCCCGATTTACTTCCTTCTTAATTTTAAACCATGTAGTGCGCTGTTTGCAAAACAGCCTCCTAATCTAGAATCTAGGTATAAGGTTTGCTCGAGCACAGTTAAGTGCTGGGAGATTCCCACACAGTCAAATGCCTTTGCACAATCAATAAAGCATAAATAGACATTTTCTGTTCTCCTCTCTTTCCTTTTTCCCGGGTCTCTTGAGGAGACCAGGAACGAGGCTCCACTGGTGCCACTGAGCCAGGGGCTGTTGGGACCAGGCTGTGGCAATCATTAGCGAGTCAGGTCAGCCAGCCAGGGCTGAAACAGGAACCGCTGGAGGGGAGGAGATGCCACAGGCAGTTTAGGTAGCCGGGGTCAAAGAGGCGGCCAGCTCAACTGCTTTGTGCTGCTCACCAGGTGGCTGCAACTGCTAGGCCACAGACCTCCACCAGCATGAAGTGGACTTTGGAATGTGTAGCAGACAATACCAATCTGTATGTGTTTGGAAATTATAATACAGATTATGATGAGCCTGGAGCACCAGACAATGAAAACTGCCCTCTCTTAGGGAACTGCAGTACTATTTTGCTGGAGGATTTGGGTACCAGATGGGCACAGATGGCTACATGCCCCAAGAACTGGCATCTGTGCCATTTGTGTTGCCTGGAAACAACCAGCAACTGCTTGGAGGTACCATCATCCCATTTGGAGAAAGCAACGGCAGTGACGTCCATGTTTGTAATATGAAGTACAAGAGATGGGCTTTACTTGCTTTGGGGGCAAGAAGCCCAGTCATTTACATGGACAATATGTGCCATGGCTGTTATATGCTATGACCTTCAACAATGACTCCCTTTATGTCTTTAGAGGGATAATTGGCTGTATTTATAACACAGACCTACACAAATTAGATCTCACCACCTTTGTTAACATACAAACTCTTCTACCTGGTAATATTTGTAATCTTTCTGAATGTAATTTGCTTTTTTGTTAATATATGTATACTATAAACATAAGGCTATGCTGTGCAAGTCTAGGTAGGCCTAGTGCTGGGCTCATTTATAGTAACTTGTTCCCAGTGTTTCCTGTTACGAGCGAATTTGTGTTAGCTATGATAATTTTCTTAATTTGCTTTAAGATCTTTATTTATAAATGGTCACTGCTTGCTGAAACTGAGGAGTACCTGAAGCACTTGCTGCAGAAGGTCACGGACTGCAGCCTTCAATATAGATTGAGGCTTAATATCAAGAAGACAAAGATTTTCACCACTGGGCCAATTGGCAGCATCAGGATGGATGGTGAAGAGATTGAGATTGTACACAGCCTTAGTTTACTTGACTCTACAGTCAATACTCTTAACACTAGCAGCGAGGAAATTAAAAGACGTATTGCGATGGGAAAGTCAGCTGTTAAGGAAGGACCTCTCCAGAGTACTGAAGAACAATGGTGTCACTCTGGAGACTAAGGTGCATCTGATGATATAGGCCATGGTCTTTGTTACCATGTGTTATACATCAGAGGGTTGGACAGTGACTAGGGAGGATAAAAGGAGAATTGATGCCTTTGAGCTGTGGTGTTGGAGAAGAATATTGAATGTACCATGGACTGCTAAGCAAATGAACAGGTTCATCCTAGAGAAGGTTAAACCAGGCTGCTGCTGGGAGCAAGGATTCTGAAGCCACATCTGACATACTTTGGACAAGTTGCAAGGAGGGACCAGTCCTTGGAGAGGGACGTCATGCTTGGGAGCATGAAGGGACGGTGCAGGAAAGGAAAACCTTCTAGGAGGTGGACTGATTCAGTGACTGGTAATCGGGATAAGTGTGTTGGAGACAGTGAGATTGGTACAGGAAGACCAGGGTTAGGGCTGTTATACATGAGATTGCTATGAGTCACAGGCAACTTAACAGCACATAACAATAACAAGTATGCTTTTATAACCTTTCATGGTTAGTAACTTAATCTTACAAGCTTTTAAGAGTTTTTTTGAAATCTGAGATTTAGGGAGCTCTGGTGATGCAGGAAGTTGTGCTGACCCAAAGGTGATGGGTCGTTGAAATCCACCAGCAACTCAATGGAAGAAAGAAGGTCTCCTGGCACATGACGTGCAGCCTCCAGAACCCCACTGGATGGTCTGATCTAAGTGGGTTTTGACACATTGGCATTTACAACAACTTTTGTGATTGGGTTTTTTTTTATTGATATTTTAACAAAAGTTTACAGAAAACTTGGATTTCCATTCTTA